TATAGGCTAAGGGTTCCAGCGTCCCAGCGGCACATCCCCACCCAGAAATTCCCAAAGTACCCCCCCCCCGTAAAATGCAGGGGTAACCACGAGTTTTTTAAAGTTATTCATCTTTTTTGAAACATTTTACCGTGCCTGTTACATTTTTCCCTGTCGCCTCTCCAGTAAGTAAAACATTTGCGTATCTCGCACTTCTTATCTTTTTTTTCTTTTTTTTTCAATACTACACTTTATTACTTATTACAAAAACTTAAGTTACTTACATCACCACTATCACCACTTACAAATTACAAATTACAAATTACAGTACCAGTCAACATTGGTTACAACACTAGCAATATAACAACCTTTTTAACAGGAGTTAATCCAAAATAACAATGATATTACTAATAGGGACAAAAAAAAAATAATAACACAACTAACAGATACAATACTACTACTGCTACTAATACACTATTCTAACAACTAACGAAAGCAAAGATAAGCGAAAAAAGTATAGGGCCATGAAATACTAAGTTGGAGCTGTTCAAATGAAAAGGAGAACCTAAATATTATTCAATTAAACATCGCTTGTTTTGCGCATGCACTACGCCATCTGCAGGTACATATTTACATTTGGATTTCAGTTTAATTTTCGACAGATAAGAGCTAGTTTCAGCAGGAAGATGTTAACAGTTAGTGGTTATCAATATGCTGCTATTCTGGTGTTCCTGGTTTAAGTACAGGTTCAATAAACTTGATTTGGTCGCAGTAGGAAAATTTTGCTTTAATTTTAGTTGTGTTCTTACATGTAGTAGCGTAGTTGATTGTGTCATTGTCAACCTAAACGCGCGCATGGCGCTTAAACCATACCTTGCATGATGCACAGAACATGTGCGCACTAACAAAAGTAGGCACCCTCCTTAATAAGAGTTTTTATAGCATGAAGCAACTACAAGTATCACAAATACTCCCCCTAAATGGGCAGGTGGTCTATTGCAGGTAATCCCCTGCATTTTTAGTCTGTCCTCACAGTTCATCAATTGTCAAGAATTCAGGGGTGAAGACAAGCATCATAGGAGAAGAGGGCTGTGTCTAGAAACACAACACAGTGGCTTGGCCAGTGCTCAAATCAAGACTGATCGATCTGAGCTGTCACTCTGCTGACAATTAGGCCATCACGTCTCTCAGCAGCACTAAACGTGCACCCTAGTCTCTTAGCTAGTAACTTTGAGATGACAAGCTATTTATATCTCATGTGAGCAAGAAAAGCTTCTTTTCACAGATGGAAGTTCCTGACAGAGTATATTGATTGAATGGAACAAATGTTAATTGAAAAGAAAAAAGTAGTTACTTACTATCCTGGTCTGTTCTAACAACAGTTGGATCACTGGCTGGTCCATCTCCTTTCACAGTAGATGCAAGCACTGTGATATTGTAGTTCACAAACTCCTTTAGACCAGTCAATCCCTTTTCACGATCTTCAGCACCAGCTGGAACACTGTTATTGTCATTCTCTGTTTGTGAGTGGTAAGTAATGGTGTAACCCGTGATGATACCATTCTGCTGATCAGCTGGAACTTCATCCCACATAACTAAGATGCTGGTTGAGCTTGTGTTCTGTCCTTTTACATTTTGTGGCGCACCATCAGGTTCTGATGTAAAAGTTCAAATCAAGTTAGCCGCTTATAGCATGATTGGTTGGTTGAGCTTTCATAAATATATGTGTAAATGTTGTGAGGGCAGTTATTAACAATCTCCTTCTTTAGTGGTTATCATAATCATTTTGTATGTTACTATCTAGTCTCTTTTCATTACTTAATCTGTATACTGACAAGGTACAAGGTAACATGTCACACTATGTGAAATTTATACTTTATGAAATTAATGATGATGATGATGATGATGATGATTAATACTAATAACAATAATTATAGCTACATTTTTTTAGGGCGCATTTCTCAACTCAATCAATGCGCCTAATAGCAAATAACTAACTACATTGTAAATGAAATAGAACAAAACTAGTACTAATCAGAGATTATGAGAGTGCGTTCGACGCTCTCACTTTAATATATAATTATATATCGTAAATAAATAATTTCACTAGCCGACTTTCAACCTTTGTCTATTGCTAAAATCAACATTTTTTCAGCAGCAACTGAGGTTTTACAGTCAGATATGCCGTGTCAAAGTCCATGCTAGTGAAGAGGTCACGATTTGTTGATACGTTGCGTGACGCTGCCAGTTTCTGTA